TTCGTAACTGTCGTGCAATAGCTGTGCATGCAAGGAAACAATATTTTGTTTGCAGGCTCTTTACGTGCTCCTTAGAAAAGGAAACGTAAATTATGCTTTTTACAACGCATAAAACACTTTTTCACTACTCGTGGTCGGTCCTTGGCACGCAAATTCGCCTATTTATAATTAATATGTTGCGCCATTTCTGTCTCATTTCGATCGAATCGCAGGAAAAGGTTCAGCGCGTTCGGTGACGTCATGTGGAATCTTTGTCGTCCCGGTCGCTGCGAACACCAGTCGGAGCAGAATCTGTGGGGTATGATGTTATTTATCGAGTCGACAGCATAGATTCTGCGTCATCTCTTTCTGTTGACATCTTCGTTGCTGTCGTGACAGTCACCACGCATGCAAAGACACAAAAGTCCCGTTTGTATGTACTATGAGTGTTCATAAGCATGGGAACTGCAAATTTTGCTTCTCCGTAATAAACTGCATAAACTTTTGTAACACCACATATTTGCTCTTTATTCGGTTAAAGACAAGTTAGTATCACTCGCGGTCGGTCCTAGACACGCAAATTAATATTTTTAAAAATGAGTGTGTTGTGCCATATTTGCCTTATTCCGTTTGAGTCGAGGACAAGCATTTCCGCACATCCAGAAAAAAATTATGCGTGATGTCAGGTATAACCTTTGCTGTCCGGGTCGCCGTGAATGCCAAACGGTGCTGAAACTATGGGGCATGAAATCATGGTTGACGTCGCTGGCATATCACCTTTGTCGCCCGGGTCGTTGCGAATACACCGCTAGCCTCGCTGCTGAAGTACAGCGAGAGAATGTTACTGTTCTGTTCCAGCACGTATAGCCCGCGCATTCGCTTTCTTTTGGATCTTTAGGCCTATTCGAGCGCATCATTTATTTTTAATCATTCGTGCCACTGCTGTGAATCATGTGACTAGAGGGAAAGACGCATACACGATGACTCGGGACATCGCCGAGTCATTACTATGCACACATCGCTGGAATGAGATAAGCGTTGATGCAATAGACAGTGTTATGGCCCACTAAGTGGCACATCGATCGATGAAGACCAAATTCGTGGATTCCATGTTCCGCTCCTCCAGTCCGTGATTGGCCGCACGGGCTCACGAAGCCATTGCCGGAATCACTTTCGGATAATGAAGGTGAGCTCGATTTTGCTTAAAAAGGAAGTGACAGTGGGAGTTAACGAAAGGTCACCAATTTCAGGCACGCTCACTACAATTGATCTTAATGCGTGTGTAAAAAGCACCGGAGGATATCATCACCCCTTCTCACATTGCCTAGGTCCATAAAACACTCGGGCACGTGCCGCCTTTGTCAATATGAGTGTTCTCTTCCTCCTCCTCCTCCTCCTCCTCGTGCCACTGTGACGAGTATTCGTGATCCAGCATGGCTTCAACACGTTCCGTTAGCTTTTTCAATGTTTTAGATTCGCTTTCGTTGGATGGAAGAGGTAAAGCGCTGTATAGCTGCACAAATTGAAAACGTACCCACGACGGGACTCGAACCCGCAATCTTCGGTTTAGGAGACCGACGCCTTATCCATCAGGTCTCACAGTGCAGCCCGCGTGGCCTAATGGATAAGGCGTCGGTCTCCTAAACCGAAGATTGCGGGTTCGAGTCCCGCCGTGGGTACGTTTCCATGTGTACGTTATTTTTATTTTATTTTTCCTACTACTTTATCTCTCCCATTAAAGGATTTTAACTACTTTATCTCTCCCATTGAAGGATTTTAATGGATTAGGCGTCGGTCTCCTAAACCGAAGATTGCGGGTTCGAGTTCCCGCCGTGGATACGTTTTCCATGTGTACTCTATTTTTACTTATTTTTCTTACTACTTTATCTCTCCCATTGAAGGATATACGATCCTTCCATTTTAATTAGACAAATGATGGTGAAATTAAGGTAAAATTGGCTACGGGATGCAGCCTGCGTGTCTAATGAAAAGGGCGTCAGGGCTCCCTAACCAAAAGATTGCGGGTTCGAGTCCCGCCGTGGGTACGCTTTCTACATTCGGGCAGCTGCTCAGTGCTTCACCTGTTCCGTTGCAGGATTTTATGTTTTCCATTTTAGTCAGATAAATGAGGTGAGATTAAAGTTTAAAATTACCCCACGGCGTAGCCCGCGTGGCCTAATGGATAAGGCGTTCGGTCTCCTAAACCGAAGATTGCGGGTTCGAGTCCCGCCGTGGGTACGTTTGCCATCCGTGCAACTGTGAACTGCCTCTCCTATCCGAGGGATTTATGTCTCCCTTTAGTCAGACGGATGAGGTGAACCGTCGGCTCATAAATCGAAGATTGCGGGTTCGAGTCCCGGCGTGGGTACGTTTCCCACCCGTGCAGCTGTGGACTGCCTCTCTTATCTGAGGGATTTATGTCTCTATTTCAGTCAAACGAATGAGGTGAAATTAGGGTAAAATTGTGTCACTGCATAAAACGTTTCTAGGATCGATAGGAGGTTGCGACCTTCTTATTCCTATTAAAACTGTATGAACCTGCGATCAGTGGCTGCTCTCTTTGAAAGCATGGTCATAGTCAAGATAAGACATGCGCGGTATTTGGCCTCGTTCCTGACAGCACCGTTAATGGAGATAGTAGTTCAAACAATTATCACATTTCTCCCTGTGCGTGAGAGGAAACCGACGCACCGCTGGGCCCGGAGCGCTGGACCCTGCCGTCTGCTGTAGATCCCTGCTGAAAACGTCAACATTCCAACCACGTGATCACCCAGGCAGCGAAGTAACACCATCTCTTTCTTTCAGGTTTGCCAAGAGGAGAACTATGGACCATCTTGTGTACCTAGTATCCCATCCGCGGTCTGGCAACACGTGGTTGAGGTTCCTCATCGAGGTGTCAGTCGGAGTTTTCACGGGATCCGGACAGTACTCGCGGAAGATATCCATGGACCACAACAGCTGGCTGGCCAAGCTCAACTTCACAGCCAGCCACTACGGAGAGCCCCAGTTCACATGGAGCGACGGACAGTGGCCATACATAGCAACATCAAGTAATGCCATCGATGCTCTCGCGCTGCGATTTCTGAAGAAAAGTAGAAAAGCTAATGTCAAAGAAAGTTTGTTAGACGTGATGGGTTAGAACGATGCGGTTGTTAGAGATGTATTCATTTGCAATTATTGAAAAGACTTGGCAGGATATCTTGTTGAACAGTTAAAATAAAATGTAATGCCTCCCTATGAGCCCAGTAATCGGTATCCAGGCAATTATTAGCGACCAGTTGACACTGTTGTTGACACTGTTGAGGCATACTCTATGGTAAAAATACAAAGGGAATTACCCGTGGTCCAAATAAGGCCATGTAAATGTCCACGTCAGGGGATGACTTGGTCTGGTGATTATTTTCATAAATCTTCTGATTTTCCGAAGTTTTTCCAAGATCGGGTATTCGCCAGCAATTCATCAGCAGTTTATAAACCACCGTTCATTCGCAATGGTTTGTGTTTGTGTGCGACTTCATCGCCGGCTGGCTACCTATTGGCGAGCACAGCCTGCTCACGAATTTTGAATTTTGTTGATGGTCGTTTATTGATTGCAAGTCGCGCATACCCGAACTTGGTTCTCCAAGTCATGTGACGTAGTTGTGTACTTCTATGACAGTGAAATGATTATAAAAAAAAACGTTGAAAAGGTGTTCGGATTTTGCCCGCTTGCTAGAAATAGACGATGCCACATTCGTTCCGTTAATCCTTATAAACGTGTGTGAAGTGAGATTTTCTGGTCGTCTGTCGACACCTTATATGATGTGATCACTCCTGATTGTATCGAAGTAAAACCGGTCGATTATGTTGTCATCACGCAATCAGAGACAGGAGAAACAAAATTTTGAATGTGGTGCCTCTGGAAGAACGGGCCGCTGCACCGGTTTATCACCAGGGTCATGTCTACAACGTTGCTTAACTTCAAAAACATCGTGACCAAATACGTGGAAAATGGTCTTTTCAAAGCAGCTAAAACATGCTGAACCCGCTGCTCGGAGCGATTCAGAACACATTGCAAAAGACAAAAGATGGGCCGTTCCCCCCCACCCCCCCCCCCCTCATGCTTTCCCTACTCCCATGTGATAGTGATAATCTCACATGTCTGCAGGTTCGGTGATGTTTTGGTCGTTGGTTCGTTTCGTGCTTTTTTGAACGAGGACACTCATTGGGAACACGTATTTCAGGCTTACGGTTCCGATTTCTGACCCGGAGGCTCTTGCGTTGCCTGGCTTTCTCGGCGAGCTGCAGAACATATTCGCCCAGAACGTCATCGTTACGAAGACGCACGGATCCGCCATTCCGCGAGTCATTCATGGTATGTAGCACGTTCTCCTGTTTGTTGGTGAAGTGTTGATTTCCCGACCACAAATCGAAAGAGGTTGATTGGGTCACGTTGAATTAGCTGTACCGCTTCCAGTGACAGTGCAGGATTTTCGGTTTGTGGTAAACGTAGCTCCTTTTCAGGTCGCGTAAACGCCTGCGCTTTGTAATGTCAGTTGTAGTTCGAGTGTTCAGCCAACCGCAGCATTCTCATCAAGAGCTTAAGCCTAAAAGCAGTGTTTCATGGCCAGATGGTATGCCTCGGGGTCGACGTGTACCCAGAGCCCGCAGTGGGGGAGGGGGGGGGGGGGGCGAGCGGGGCCTGGACAGATGGCCGACCGGTCCGGTCCGGTAACCCGAAACCGGTCACGATACGGCGTGGCATGGCGCGTGACGGCAGTCTTCTCGACGCGACAGGACGTGCCGGGTTGGGGGCCCCGCCGCGGGCTTCGCGCGTCGCTGTGTAGATGGCTGCGAATCTCTCTTGGTCGGCGTCGAAGCTTGCAACCGTGCACCGGCATGCATCTACCACAGCAATGCGATGTGCCAGGAAGCGAACATCACCGCTGCTGCTGCTGACGGCGAGATTATGCATGCTTTAAACAATCACATTCACTAAAAGCATTCAATCAGCATTCATTTGCGCATGGCTTGCAGATCCCGATCAGACAATAAATAGCATCGACTTCGCGGCGTACCCCATGGACATCACAGCACGCCGGGCGATCCTCATCATCCGTGACCCGTTCAAGGTCATACTGTCCTCGCGCCACTACCAGTTCTCCAGCTCGGTGCACGTCGAGAACGACCCCCACCCTCTTGAGCACTTCCGGGGAGAAGGTGAGGCACGAGCATTCGGCGAGTGCGCCGAATTCAGCCGGCTGGGGTCATGACGAGGACTGGACTGTCATGTCCCTTGAAGAGGCCTGCTGTGTTCCCTTCGAGTTGCCTTAAAGTGATCTGCTGTGTTCCGTTAGAGGCATCGGATGATCCCTTACGAACTGGTTGTTTGAAACGTTCGCCCCTTGAGATAAAGTTTTAGAATGGCGTCATGATACATTATGAATTCAGTCGGATTCAAAAGCCCCTTTTGAACTGAACATTCGAGTGGCACCGTGGCTACGTAGTCGTCTTACTTCTAACTGCCTTATTGGGAGTGCTGCCGCGTGACGCTAAAATACAACTATTTGACTCAGGAAAGAATCGTCTTTTCTTGAGCTTAAAACATTTTTAGCTTTTGGATTTGCTAAAAATTTATCTGCCGAGACTTTATCGCCATTTATGGGATGCCTACATATGCTGGATGCCAGACTTCGCAAAATCATACTGTCTGTCGGGGATGGACAATGAAACATTTCACGGCGTGGGCGGGAACTACGGTATAGAAAGGGCGCAGCAGCCGCACCAAATCTCTTTAAATTTGGCATAGCACCTACATTCCAACATTGAAGGATGTTGTTTCCGGCACCTTTGTCACGTTAACCTTTTAAGCACTCCTAATCCATGATCACAACGGTTCCAGACACCCTGAATAAGGGCGTCGTTCCGATTTTCATGAGGATCAAGACCATACAAAAGGAAATAGACAGATGGCTTCGCTTGTGCATACATGCCTACCTATGTAGTTCCAGCATAGCTTTGCGTAATAGTTTCAGCACAATAAGAAAACTAAGAACAAAGCCCCAAAACGAGCAGTTTCCTATCACATCGCGTGCCCCCCCGGGACATCACGGCACCTTTCCCGCGAGGCTGTTAACCCCTGAAGGTACGCCAGCGAGCGGAAAGGAAACCTCTTCTTATACCGGCGGCTACCAAGCCACCCAACAGGCTTTCCGTCCAAGAAAAACCCGCACCTCTGCTCCACTCTTCCGCTCCACCCCTGAGCTAATCGGGAGGAGCCGTAGGGCGCTGGCTGGAAGGGGCGCGCAAACCGCGGAGGGGGTAGGGGCTTTAGCCCCAACGCTCTGGAAATTGAGCGTCAGCTGATCATTTTAAGGGGGGGTAGGATAATCTGAAAGGAAATAATATGATAATGGGGATAAGATAAGGGGTTAAGATAATATATTAATGGGGGATAAGATAACCTGAGATCTGAAAGCAGATAACTAAAAATGGTGTCGCCCTTTGCTCCCCCCCCCCTCTCCCCCAACATGAGATGATTCCAATCACTTCTGAGTCCTGTACGCATAATCCGAAGTTTGGATCACAGCAATTCCGAGGAGCAAAATTTGGACTGTGCTGTGTGCATGACTGAAAGCTCAACATTATTCAGTCCTTTTCAGCACTCAGTAACTCCTGACGATGGTCGAGGATTAAAATGACCGAAACGTTTCGTACAAGCAAACACACCAGAATAGGACGATGGTCCGAACAAAAATGCATCCATAGCAGTAAAAGATAGTCTCGATCGTTATCAACAATGCCTTCATTCAAGGTCACTCAGGCGGTCAGACCGAATTACCTCTGTGAACTAGATAGGCCATCCAATGCACAGCAATGGTACGACCTAACGGAATCAACCAACGACTTGCATCCATGCGAGAACGTTATTTGAATTACCTGCTCGCACTTATTACATTCCACTTTTTGTCCGCGCACCGGTCAAAGCTATGACGAAGGCTCGTGACGTCATTCTGTGACGAAGCTCGTCAGCCCAACTGGCGCTGAGTGATAGGCGAGATCGTGATTTGTGATTGATGCAATCGAAGGCAGAGGGAATGCCAATGCTGCATTGGGATGTTTAACAGAGGATGAGCTCGGGTGATTCAGTGATCTTCATTGAAACGTGGAAAATATCAACAGTTACACCATGAACACCGGCACTGCAAGATGATGCACGTCTTAACCGATTTGGCAATCATTCCAGATTGGCAAACATTTATTGAGTATTACGCACAGAGCTGGCTCGAATTCAACATCCAATGGCTCGAGCAGACTGACGACCTTCTTGTGATACACTACGAGAACCTGCAGGTAAGCCGTTCCTTAAAAGCATTGCCCGTAGTTCTCTGCATCTCTGACACCCCTGTCACATCAAGCCATGTCAGTGAGAGACAAACGTCATATGGGCAAGTCCGGTGTGGGATAATCTGACTCCTGACCAATCTACGTGATATTCGTCACGGTAAGTACCGCCTGCTTTGGTGGGCTGCAGGAGGCGTGATGCATGGCATGCACGCAAGGTTGCGGAGGGTAATACGATGATCAGCTCAGCGTGGACAGATAGCCCACTACCGCGCTTTGGCATCACGAAAATGAGAGCCCGCTGTGACATCATTGTGATCTGGCTGCAAACCAGATGTAAAAAACTCAGGCACGCACCATGCGTCCTCTGGCGGCGAGCGGTATACGCTGACCGTCAATTTTTGAAGACTGGAAGACTGAGTCCCATCTTGGAGGAGCCCGCGCGTAAATTTGATTACGCTTTTTGTCTGTTATTCTGATTTTTGAGGTACATGACCACACACAGTGCTCCCGGCCTGCATCAAGTTATGGCTATCCCCGAACCGAGCAACAAAACCCAACTAAAACAAACCATGTGTATTCTAACCTCTTATTGCGAACAAGACAAGCGGCTAAAAGGCCCAGATGAGTATTCTACACAGTGCTTGTACACGGCCAATGTAAATCACGTGACAGCATTGGACCGTCGGTACCTGTCTCCCCCGTCCCTGAACACTCCATGTCAGTGGATACACCGCTCTCGCCTTTCGCTACTATAGCATATATTTTTGACTCAGTTCTTGCGGTGAATGCCATTGTATGTGGTAAAAGCACAATAACTCAAAATTGTCCACAGTTTGAGATATTTCCCGTTGGGGCTGGGGAATCCCCTTCCCCAAGCTGGAAGCGCCTGGTATACACAAGTTATTCTTAGATGTTTGGGGTGTTTTGGCGGAATTCTCCAAACGTGCCTTTGCGTGGAACGAAATCGTGCTATCCGCTCTTTGCTAAAGGGAAGTGTGAGAAGATTGAAAAGCACCAGCCTGGATTTGGCTGTCACGTACGACACAGCAGAACATTACGAGAGTGTGTCTTTTTGCGCGCCGAACCTCAGTGACGTCATTTCATAGTTTTCTCCACAAATATTTTTTTTACGTTTTGAGGGGGAAGTGCTCCGCCTTGATGCATTGTCCTGCTTTAGCCTGACGACTGTCCTTCTCCTGCATGATTTTCTGTCTCCCTCAAATGGCATGCATAGCAGGTAACGAACAACGATGTAAAGGTAGGTTGGATCCTGCAAAGGTAAATAAAGAAACAGGTTACGTCATGACGACCTATGTTTCTGCGTGTTGTTACAAACCGGTGCAGCTCAAGTTTGGGCCGTCCTTGTTTCATTGGTGGCTGACAACGCGAAGATTTAACGTAACCCATCAAAAATGGATCCGTCTGTGAATGGAGAATTTGTGGTAAATGGTGACGAACGGCCCCCAGTGATAAGGTTCACGTGCGCACGGCCGATGGAGATATGCGTTTCCTGTAACCTTCGTTATTGGGCCTTTACGACGCACTCAGCTGCTGAGGCTGTATGGCGTATATTATATATATATATATATATATATATATATATATATATATATATATGTATATATATATTATATATATATATATATATATATCCCCTCTCACCCTGACAGGCGGGACGGACGCCGCGGAGAATCGAACCGGGGAGTCGGGATCCGTTATCTGCCACGAGCCAGGCCGTGTGACCTCTTCGTGACCTCTGCGTGCCGTCAGTCGGAGCCGTGGGCCCAGCTGGAGAGGGTGCACACCTTCCTGGGCGTGTCGCCGGACCCCGGGCGGATGCTGTGCTTGCGGCAGCATGGCGAGGGCGGCGCGCACAACCGGCACCACCCGGTGCGGGCCGAGATGGTGTACTCGCGCCCCCAGCAGTTCCTCGTGTGGACGGCCATCCACCAGCTGCAGCTGGAGATCAGCCGACGTCAGCTGCCGCCGCTGCCGCTCGACCGCTTCCTCTTCCAGGAGTTCCGCTTCTCCGGCGTGCCGGCGGCCGACGTGAGCGCGGCGCCCGGTGGCTGACGTGAGCGCGGCGCCCGCTAGCTGACGTGAGCGGAGCGCCCGCTAGCTGACGTGAGCGGAGCGCCCGCTAGCTGACGTGAGCGGAGCACCCGGTGGCCGACGTGAGCGGAGCGCCGGCTAGCTGACGTGAGCGGAGCGCCCGGTGACCGACGTGAGCGGAGCGCCCGCTAGCTGACGTGAGCGGAGCGCCCGGTGGCCGACGTGAGCGGAGCGCCCGCTAGCTGACGTGAGCGGAGCGCCTGCTGGCCGACGTGAGTGGAGCGCCCGGTGGCCGACGTGAGCGGATCGCCGCTAGCTGACGTGAGCGGAGCGCTCGGTGGCCGACGTGAGCGGATCGCCCGCTAGCTGACGTGAGCGGAGCGCCCGTGGCCGACGTGAGCGGAGCCCCGCTAGCTTACG